TGTGCTCTGTCTGCAACAGGCAACTTCAATACCATCCCGACAAAAACCCAGACGCAGAAGCACAAGCGACTTTTATACTGATTCGAAAGGCATACGACACGCTCATGGATCCAGTTCAAAGATTTGCATATGACCGGTAGACGATTGGTATACTGACAATTGAGTATATCTTACGCATTTGCAGCCGACTTACTTACACACCACTTTTTTATTTTGATGTCTAGCTTTGGCCCAGAGATAATTAAATGCGATCATTGTAAAACAACGCGCGAATTTTTGGCTAATGGTTGGTCTGACTTTGGAGCATTCTACACTAGTACATGCCTGTTTATGCTCGTTGTTAATTTCCTTGGTAAAGGTCAGTTTGGACGATTCTGGCGTTTTGTCGCGTTTTTTGGAGTAGCTTGCATGGAAGCCTCGATGATTCTCCATCCAAAGTCCACTTCAGGAAGCTTTATATCCATGATTCTACGTAACATGCCAATATTCGAGCAGATAATCGTGTTACGACGATTGTGCATAGCAATGTTTCTGGCGCTGTCTCATGTTGGACCGATATGGTTTCCTAGTGAAATAGTAGATATACGTCAGGAGTTGCAGCGATTGGAATTACTGAGCAAGTTCGCTGAACAAGAGGCTAGTGCCTTGTTGGTTGATGGATTCGAGCCGTTCCGGAAAGATACCGCAGCACAAATAATGTTAAAGAGGAAGATGGAGATGTATGAGGTGAATTCACGCTTGAACTCGCATTCGGAATTTAAGGGCATGTATAACAACGTACGGCAGAGATTAATAACAAACAAACAAAGAAATAGGTGAACAGAAAAAGTAGTAGATTTATTCTTCTTAATATTGATAATAATATTAATATTGAAAACTGTTAACCTACATGTCATCACGTGTTGTATTGAAACAACCAATAAATTTTCGAAAACATCATTCTTTTCTGTAATCATGGAAGTGAACGCAGCGACGAAAGCAGACTTTAAAACCTTTATATCCAAATATTCCTCGACCCAGAACTGGTCGAGCGATGTCTCTGAGACGGTCAAGAGTAATGATAACCATAATATTGTTGGCAAAGCAGGCACTTCTTGGCGTAACACAAAGCCTCGCCCGCCTCGACGGAGAAACGTGGCTGCAAGTAGTAATGCTAAAGTGGGCATACAGCGAAGGAGCAATGTGCGACACGAGAAAGATGCGCGTAATAACCCTGTAATAGAATATCGCACATTGGACGATGTTATCGATTACGACTTGGATGGTAACATTCTGTAATAAACGCAACATTTAAAATTCTTTCTCACGCAAACTACCACCAAATATTCAAAAATTTCCCAAATTCATATTCTCAGTTCTTTTTTGCGGAATCAATCCTGGAATAAAAAGCTCACTGACGGGGCATCATTTCGCTGGTCCTAATAACCATTTTTACCCGTGTTTATACGAAAGCGGTAATGACTGTCATCCTTTTTACCAGAACCTTTTCTCTATAGTGTATAACGCATCGTGGGTTAATTAGGATTGACACGTGGCGAACGAGTGACATTTAAAGATGATATTCGATTAGCCCGTGATTTTGGATTTGGAATTACCAACGTAGTTAAGCGAGTCAGTCGAACGTCATCTGTAAGTTTATGTCTTTTTCTCTTGGATCACAGGAAGGGATAACTGACAGTATAAGAGATTGTTGATTGATTTGGCTCATATGTAGCACTTGACTCCAAAAGAATACGCCGACGGGATACCTTCAGTCGTTGAAAAGGTGAAACAATACAGACCAAAATATCTTTGTTTCGTTGGCAAAGTTGTCTTTGAGTCGTTTTCTAAATGGTGGTTTCAACAACATGAGAAAACTTGTAAAAATTGGAAGCCGACATTTGGCTTTCAGAATGATATGAAATTGCCATGGGATAACTGTGATGGTGAAACAAAGGTAAGTCATTCTTTGAATTGGGTTGGAAGAAAACCCAATATAATATGAATTCAAATTGGACACCATTCTTTAGATATTTGCAGTACCATCCACGAGGTAAACATTAAATTGTAAATTTTCCGTGCTGAAAGACTGTCAGTAATCTACGTTTCTCATCATTCTTTGTCGCTGTCATTTCATTTCAAAATTACGGCTTTTGATATTGGATAGCGGTCGCGTCAGTCATTATCTAAAGGATGACAAAGTTGGGTTCTTTACAGATCTAAAGAATTTACTTAACGATGACCCACATGTCTTGTTTACGGAAGAGACAAAGCTGAGTTAACGACGTTCGAGTAAAAGTATTTTTACTGGTATCATTATTTAATAGCATTTAATAGAAAGGACGGTCAATTCAATAAAATATGGGATTATCATTTGTAAACGGGATATCAGATTTAGGGGGAGCGACGGTAATTAGCACAGCAGTGTTTGAATTCCAACCCTCGCCACGCTATTCAAAGGACCTAAAGTTGATGTTGACGCTGGGGTTTTTTTTGCATGTTTGTTATCTATTTGTGCCACTATTATTGCCAACGTTTAATTGCAATTCATTTTACAATATCATAATCAATTATGACTAAAGTGGTGTTCTTTTATTATCGCGTTATGCAATAGCATAAACATTAATATTATTGCAGTGTTCCCGACTGGTCAATCCAGTGTCCTAACTTGTAGTCGTGCGCTTATTTACGGGATCTCAAACCAGTCTGTGAAATCAGTTATACAATCCCAGCAAAAACAAAGCTTGGTTTCGCATTCTGATCTGAATCAGAGCAAAATTCGACGCGACGCAAGGGTCACACAAAAGAATAATTTTCCTGTTTACTAAATTCTTAAACCAACTTTCGATGTAAAAGTGTGTAATAGCGGTAGTATCATACTAGCTGAACCCGATTTCGACATTTTAATTTAACCCATACTGCATAGTTAAAGGAAACGAGATACTGTAAATACTGGGAAAAAAGATATCAACCTAACCGTAGCCCTTGTTGGCTTTTTTGTGTCATCAAAGTTGGTTAAATTGTAAAAGATATAGTCTTTAACATTCTGAAAGGCTACTCATATTAATAATTGGGCTGACTTTAAATGAAACACGTGATGACTGTTATGTAATAAAGACTCTTTAATAGACGCCGAAAAGACGAAAACATGTACGTGGAAACCGTGCTATACTAACAGACTTTTGCCACCACAAATCGTCAAAACAAGATATTGCTACAGCTTACTGAAAAATGGCGAAGCAGACTCATCATGAAAAACGTATCGCAGACCGTCTTGTACCAATATTAGACTGTTGATGCCCAAAGTTTACCAAAATAAACATCACGCTCGTTATTTCATTCTAATTGATTAAGACTTTAAATGTACCGCCTGTTACATCATCCGACTTATAAATGGCACATAACCTGGCGCAATAGAACTTTTGTTCATACATAGACTGATTACAAATACAAGAATAGCTTTGGTTCTTGCCGATGCATTATTTTCGAAGATCACGCAATAAAAATAGAAATACGAGGACCATTATTCGAGAAAATGCCCCGTTCTCACTATGCTACACAGAACCTGAAGATCCCAATAATAATAGGCTTGGGTTTTGAAACTGAAGATCCCAATAATAGTGGGCTTGGGTTTTGAAACTGAAGATCACAATAATAATAGGATTAAATTGCCAAATCTCGATTAATAAAAAAACTGTACGCCAACGTACACTAAAGTGGACTTCGATGATTCCTATCGATCTTGTTATTCCTAAAAATATGTCATCACCAGCATCCATTCCGCGTGATGAGCTAGCACCGCTTTGATAAAGTGGCAGTTGTTTTTTCCGAAAAAGTTTCGATACCGACAATTAATTTTTATTAAAAATAGGAAAATCACACATGTCAATTAATTAAATAATAACGTATGGGAGTATCAATAAGTAAAAATTATACGTTTATCTGCAAAATATCATGCTTGTCTGACCACTTTTCGTTATTCCGAAAGGCATTTGTGAAAGGAAAGAATTGTGGTCGACCGAAAAAAATTTACAGGTGGAGTTTTCTATTTGTTTATTTTATTATGTATATAATAAAAGATAAAGAGATGGTCTGTATATTTAATGTCTGAATGACTGCTGGGCTCGTTTTTCTAAAAAAAAATACAACAAAGAATTATTTATTATTCTTGCATGCATCATTATTCATTACCGGTTTTTGTGGTTGTTTCTTTTTCGAAAGTAATTTTCTGAATTTTAGTATTATAATTTCATACAATAAAAATTTAGCCACATCAGCCTCTTGTTTATGTCACATGATGTTATCCACTAATATATCGGGTATGTAACCCAAATGTAGTATAATTGTGTAATGTTAGTATTGCGGACATTCCACTTTTGATGGATGCCGCTCTTTCCGGTGTCATTTAGGTAACAGCTTTTCCTATCACGAATCTCATGTGCCATGATCTTGGACAAATTTGTCAGATAAAACGGGAGATTTCGGTTTAGGTTCTTCTTTTCGCTCTTCGATTGTAAATCTGTTTCAAGTGTGATACGTTGCTAAAATTATATTAATATTATTATTTTTACTTACATTCTCTTGGGCTTCGCTTTACCGCCCAGTTGACAGATTTCTTTAAAGTGGTACTAATTTAAAATTCCTGCTGGTATCTTTTGTCTTTTTTTGTTTGGTCAGCGAAACGTAATATTATGATTACGTGTTGCATTCGTTGGTAATTCAGAATACACCAAGGACAAAAGGTTGACAAAAGGTTTCATTTTTTTCCTAACTTTATTTGGTAAATGTGATCTGGTGCAAGCACAAACCGTCCCGATTTGGGGATACAACCCCCTCCATTCTTTTCATTTATTAGTCCTGTGCGAATCTCTTTTTTTACTAATCGCAAATCCCTCCGGAAGCAGGCTCTTCCAACAGATATCATATATATATATATATAAGCCCTCGATATTATTGTTGAGTTTGTCAGAACACTTTAATAATAATTGTTGATCAACGTAATTTTTTATTCACTTACGAGCATGTCCAAGACTCAAAACAATGACTCAAACACACAACGAGCAGTCTCGATGGAGCCACCGCCCTATAGCCCTCTCGTAGATGTTAGGTCGTTTACATTTAAAGAGGAAGCAGATAATACAATCGCTGTCTTAACCAAACAAGCACTTGGTACAAGATATAGCATTGTTCCGCCTACTGTAGGTGAACCGTATTATTCGATATTGCATCGGTCATCAGGAAAATTATACTGGGAGCTCAAGACACGCGCCGACTCTCCCAAAGGCCGGCCAACTCCAGCATGGGACATAACTGATCAGCAGTCAGCACCGTCTCCAATGACATATGAAGAGAATCTCAATGGATACGTCACATCATACAACGGGAAAGTCTTTCTATGGAAAATGACAAATGGTGGCGGACTCTATTGCGTTGAAGGATTAAACAGTACTGGGACAAGAGTGGCGGAGCATGATGTGGTGTCCAATAGCATAAATATCGATGTTTCTCGCCGAGAATCGGCAGAGGGTCCTCATACTGATAGTACACGTTTTGAGACATTCATGATCCTGACAGGCTACATAGTGATGATTGAAATCCAAAAATTAGAAAAGATGCTCACGTGTCCGTCACTAGTTCCCAGCTGGGCTTCGTCTCTTTTGTGCTGTGGATGCTTTTGCGCTTAGAGTTTGCTTTAGTGATATCGGGCTTTTTTTGGTTTTTTCCCCCCCACATAATTTTCAGAGGGAATGGACATTTGAATGTGCACTTTTTATTAATTTACGCTTAAAAGCTAGCTACCCCCGAATGCGCGGGTCGCACTCATCACTTAACTAATAGACATTTATACGAAAGAAGAGAAAAAGAAATACCAACTCCCCTTCTCTTCCCTTCCCCTTCCTCCCACCCCACCCCCACGTTTTTTTTCAGCCGTTGTTATATAACGCATATTTACTTTTATACAAAAAAGAAAAACTTAATTTCTTAATATGATCCCATGACCGTTCATGGACACTATCGGAACATGCGCATGTACGCTATATTCACGTTTGGAGATCAGTTAGTTCCAACATTTTCAACGATGAAGATACAACTGGTGAGACTTACCGAGAATCAATGCGCCAGCGCCTGTTAATGTACCTAAAGAGTAAAAAAAAAACATGGGTATCGGTGTAAAGAAAATCAAACTCTAGTCTAATTAAATTTGATAAAGTCACTTACCGAGCATGTACTGCAACAACTGAAATTTTATGGTTTCCATCTGTGTGCGCAAATTGCTGATTTCTCCCTCGAGACGTGTATCCGTTTCCTGGATCTTTAGCTCGATAGCACTGGATTCGTCCCTAATCCTACCTTTTTCTAAATTCAAGTCCAATCTTACACCAGCCTGAGTACGTCTTACTTCTTCGTTTAATTTCTGCTTTAGTCTTTCGACTTCTGCTACTAATTGTTCATTATTGGCTTTCATCATGGCAAAATCATTCTTTTCGAGCATCTGAAGTTCTGATTTTAGTTGTGCAAAATCCACTTTATATGCATAGACGGTCTGGGAACGTCAGTTTTAAATGACTTGGGAAACAACACATGCATGCTTGACCATGGCAACGCGCATTCATACTTTCTCCTGTTCTGCTTTTGTGACCATATTCTTTACGATTGTTTGCATGCTAAAAAAAACATTTTGGGTTTAAAAATAAATCCACTATCGAATTGCATATTGCTAATTGGGTCAAGTAAAATTAAAAAAAAAAAAAAAAAACAACAACAAAGAGCCTTACCTTTCATTCATAACTTCAGCCAAGGAATCCATTATGGCTTCTCCCTGTTGACGTGAGAACCCTTCCATTTCCAGTTTCTGCACGAATTTGTTTGTATCAAAGTATTGTTGAAACATGGGGGCGGTATAGTTTAAGTTTCTGATAAATTGTTGTCCACTTAAGACGGAAGCCACACGTAAAGCACGAGCGTCTTGTACCATCCAACTACAGTTAATAGAAATGCAAGAAATGAATCTCCAAACTCTTGCCAAAACTTAATCACCTCCATCAATGGCTCTCCGTAAGTTAAATATAAAGGAGCAAAGGGGTGTCCCCGCTGGTATGTGAGCAAGGTTTTGGTTCCAATTTCGAAGCGTTTTCAGCATGTCAAAGTGGCAGAGTTAGAGTGAAAGGCGGTTTTTCCGTCAACTGTCAAAAATTTCCAATTGAAGTGTTACACAAAAGTCCCGGATCAAATTTTCAGGGGTTCCGAGCATACATAATACAGTTTAAATAAGGATTTTCCTATTATTGAATTACTAGATCAAATTTCGTTAGTCTCTCGCTTAAAATGTATTTACAAAGACCAAAGATCTGAAACACCAAAGTCTGAAACACCAAACGTCTGAGAAAATCCCTTTAGTTGAGGATTCGCATATTTTTAGGTCATACATTTATACATCCCGCAATCTTTTTATTATGAGAGCCCCCATAATCAACAAAACTGTTATTATTATGTACTCATCTATAATATACTATTCAGAATATGGTAGCAACGCAACGGTTATTAGCGACTAAAATATCATGGCAATTGAATTGATTATTGCGGAATTATTAATTCTAGATCCATACAATTAACAAATTTTTAACCTTCACCGACAAGAATTATAAATTGATTACTGTATTTATTGTTAATATCTGTAATGTTTAGTTACAATTTGCAAACCGTCCGATACCTCTATAATATTCACATACAGGTGTCCTCATCTACTTGTATATCTAACTTGTAACATCTCCGTTTGGGCCCGATAAACTGTTGAAAATCACATTAAATCAAAATTTGGTAATAGTCTACTCTTTTTTTGGCTCAAAGGGACTAATACTAAATCAAGGAGACAAGTGTTTCTTGTGCACAAAAAAAAAAGGTTTAACATTGCAAACAAATTTTAGTGATACAACATAATCCATACGCCTACAATCACATGGCTGTTCTTATAATTTGTTGAAAAACGGAAACTCATAGAGTTGAAGCGTTTTAGTTTTTCTGAAACAAGACAAAGGAATTTTCAATTGCTTTGTTTGCAAAATTCTTAACAAGCTTTCAGAAATAATATGCTTTCGTTGCCGCTCAGGTTTCCCAAAATGCATTCTAACAGGGTGGGCAAGTCCAACGTTAGCTGGGTAAATTGTTCAATGGCCCCTTTTCTCTGATCATTATTAATTTCTGATATCCGGGTTTAAACACTCATATTAGATCTTAATGAGTATTACATGCGGCGATTAGTTGTACTGGCAAGAAACCGTGTAGCCACATTACCAAATTTGAAACACATTCTACAGAATTCCCTTTTCTATCAAAAACATACCAAAATAGTCCAAATCCAGCATATTTGTATTAATTAAAATCATGCAGATCCCGGACCCAAAACAAAATTCTGTTTTCTCAACTAAACCCAAATCGATTATGCACAGGAAGAATTGTGGCGTCATCGTGTAATTGCCAATCTTTGACCTCAGTTCCGAGATGACAACCCTCCCCCCCCATATGCAAACGTAAATTTGGAACCCATAATGATGGAGTTGGCCCCTCACATTGGTTACCAACGACAAGTATACATCGATGCAACTTTACTGCAACTGCGCAAATTCAATTAGGAAGATGATGCTATCAATTCCCACAAGTGTCAATGTGAACGCTTCTCCTTCAACTGATCATGCCTAACCCATTACCATAAACAAACCCAAACAAATTCTGCTCAATTATAACGATACTGGCTAACATGCCAGAGTCCTTGCTTTGTTATATGATAAAACGATGCGTATAAAATAAAAATACCGTGCCCGTTACCCGCAATGAGGAAAAAAAAAAGACGAGGAATACAGATGATACCAGTGGAGCGCCTGTCCCCAAATCATGCAGAAATACATTAACATTACTGTAAAAAGGCGCCTGTCCTTGATAAAAAAGGGATAAAAAGGTCTAAATATACAGGACTTTTACTTTTGGGGGTTGCAATAAAGATATTGATAGAAGTTAGGTAAGAGGGGGTTAATAAAATTATTCACAAGAAAAAGAATGTTCAAAGAAATAATGTACTGTGTGGCACCGATCGCGCTAAAAGATGCAGATTCTACTTGACAGAAAGGAAGAACAAAGAACACGTCTTCAACATTATCGTGTCTACTATTTCGTTACGATGCAGAGACGCCTTGCTCTTTCTAAAAACGGTTTAATAATAAACGTGATAGCATTAGTAAACATCACGACTGACCTAACCCAAAAACGATACAATGAAATCTTGTCGAGTTATGACGTACTATAGCATTCTTCACTTTCTCAAATTCTTTCAACATCTTGCGGCGAGCACCGAGCGCAGCAACACCTTTCTGCTCTAGTTGGGTGTCGTCTAGTTCGATAATTTCCTGCCATTTCATTCCCTCAAACATGGGTGTGTATTTGTGCAAACGAAGACTTCTTAACCATGCGGGAATATCTGTATAGAGATAATTTATTATGTATGGTAAGCGCTTGTCCACCAAACAGACTTTGAAAGCAACGAATGAAAAATAAACAAAAAAAAACTAACCTTGTAACAGGTCGAAATCGACAGAATCGTCATTTTGCTTCTTTTTGTTCTTCCCCGGAGCTTTTGAATTGGGTTTGTGAGAAGTATCGCTATTGTCACTATGATAGCCAGCAACGTCACCATTTCCATCATAACGCATGTTAACACCCGGAGGGGCCAAATAATTGGTTTTACCGCCTCCGCCTGCTTGATTCCAACCCGGATGCACAGCATACAAGCCACCCGAAGAAGACTGGTTTTGATTCGCAGAATTCGGTGAGGCGGGTCGTGATCCCTGACGAGCCGATACCTTTGGACTGGGAAGCGGTGACTGTTGTGGTGAGCGTAGATTTCCGTGTTCGTCATACATGGAAAGAACGATATTGGCAGACGCCGCCGCATATTTTTCCTCTTGGACTGTAGCGGGAACGCCAGACTGGTTATTGTTCTTGCCATGATTGCGACGAAATTTCTTCACATCACTCTCTAACACGACACGGTTTCCTGAACTATTACTAATGCTCCAACTGGAAAGTTTTTTCGCTGCCAAATCTATTTGTTCGGAAGCTTTAGCGTTTTGTTTCTCAGCAAACATTGGGACCACCGGTGTCGATACCATGCTAGCCCAACTACCACCAACAAGAGGAGATAGCTCTCCGTCAAATGCTCCTCCTGGCCTAGGCGATCGCAAATTATACCCAGGCGTCCATGGAAGAGCACTAAGATCAGCAGACTTGGGTCGCCCATTTGGTGTTCTATTATCCTTGCTATTATTTTGATTACCAGAAGTAGCAGGTGCCCAGACAGTTTGATCACCCTCTGCAACCATAGATTTCGGCCGGGAAGAATATAATCCACCTCTGTTACCAGCGTTTGCTTGATGAAGACGTGCTCTTTGTTGGGCGAGAGCTGCCGCAGGATCCGAGTAGATAGCGGCGTCAGGAGACAAAAACTCAACGCCCGAGTGTCGATCATACAAACGACGTGGATATGTCGGGCTCGTCGGTGATTTAAGAGCCATACCAGCTAGTTTTGCCTCAACGTCAGCCTTGGCCATAGCACCGGCTAACTGAGCACTCATCATGTCTTGTTAATTAAATCAAGCAAAAAGAATAAGTAAGACTACGTGGTCTCTAGAATAAAAAAGTTGCATTCTCTGGTACAATCAACAATCACGCTATCATTATGCACATGTTTCATACATGTACATGCGACTGTCAGAGTATTCCAACAAGAAAAAGCAAATAGTCATTCACCTTTTTCCGGGTTTGCAGGTGACAGGAGAGCACCCATTGGATCGCTTCTTGCCATCTGCTGTAGAACTGTTATGAAGAAACGTATTTGAACTTGGGTAGAGTGCTGCAGCAAGCTGTATAATGCTGCAGTCCGTTCAGCTTCTGATAAAACTCTGAACCATTGTTCGATGGCACCCAATTCTTCTTTAAAGTTTTGGTCCAAACTGGCGTTAGCCATTTCTTCTAGTGTTTGTTCGTAGTGCTGTAGGTCTTCGAACCACTTGTCGATGGCTTCAGCTGGGAAAATGTACAAGACAGTGTTAGTTTGATGGGGAACCAGAGAAAGCCAGTGACGGAGATGAGATGCCAGTTTTAAACTCGGGGGAGGGGTGGGGGCGCGATAGTATAAATCCGACAAATTTTTTATCGCTCGGTCAGTCATTTTTTGCAACGCCAGAACCACATACGGAGTAACATACCTTCGGGTGAATGATATGTAGTATTAGGAGGAAAGATTTCGGAGGCGGGTCGAGACCCACGGTGATTTGTAGGTTGTTGAGCCAAATGAGAGAGGTCGGTGGAAGAGCGGTATTGAGGATTGGATTTGGAGGAGGGTTGAAGATTAAACTGTTCGGAAGCCGGGCGTTGTGTGGTCATGATGAGTCTCCGGGTTTGTGAATGATATTTCGTTTAACCCTTTAAGTATGAGCATGTGCGAAGTCTGTCACGAGTTCAAGTGAGAAAATATATGCAATTGGTATGGCGTCACCAAGATATTATAACGCCACAGATTACCTTTTCGGATCGTTTAAAAAAAAACTCCCTTTTTCCAAAGTGTAAATTTTAAAATAGGTTTTGCATTTTTGATTAGTTTGTCGGTTATGACAAACATACTAATTATAACTTACTGCAGCAATTCATCATAATTCTGGTGCAGATCAATGCTAAAACAACGCTAGTTGGTCAAAAAATTTCCAACCATAAATATTAATATGCATAGAGTTTATTCTGTTCGAATGAATGTTAAAAGTATGCAAGACATTAAATATTGCACAGATTTGTTTTGATTGATTCTACTAACTAGTCTATAGAGAATAATGATTACTATTCAGACAGTAACAGGTTGTATATTTTAATGAAGTGACCTATTCTGTCATTGTTGATTCCGGTATGAAATTAACTTGAATTCTCTCTTTTGAATATCACTTGTGAGATAAGAATGTAATATTTTCTTGGTTGCAGAAAACTAAAATTTATTTATAATTTATTTATTACTTATTTATTTCATTCATGGTACAACTTGTTTTTTTATTATTTACCAGCCATTACAATCTATCTACTAAAGTTTATTATCAACTAGTAAATGAATCTATTTAATGCAAAGTGAAAAAAAAAGGTATGTTCTCACAAGCGTTGTTCGTCTATTAAAAATATACAGCATAATTTGTACGCATCTAATTTTTATAATTTTATTGTGATTAAAAATCTGTTCAACAAAGAATAATTAACCACAACATTGGTATTGGACTTGCCACCGCTTGGTTGTCTTTTTTCTTACGAAAATCCATCGTATTGCCTCGAAGGTATAACAGAGATTTTAAGACTGAAAAAGATTGCCACTGCGGAAGGGGATAATCATAAATCAGTCTCTCTTTTATTTCTTTGAGTCCATTGTAGACTTGAAAGCGTTCAGTTAATTAATTAATTAATGACGCATCCAATAATAAACGTCACACTGTTAAATTAGTGCTACCATAAACCGTTGTTACAGACGAACGTCCTATCAAAAAGTCAACAAGCGGACCAAGGTGACGAATATGTTGATAGACCCTTGAATTAGGTAAAAAATAGTAATAGTACATCCATTGTTAACATGCAAGTATGTTCATTGTATTATGGATACAGATCGAGTATTACGTTGGTGAATTGAGAGTCAACTGTTTGTATCTTTTGTTTATTATTCAGCATACTCTTACGTTGAACATTCGAGGTGTTATCTCAAGTATCGGGATTTTGAGTTTGTTCTCAGACATGCCTATAATGATTACCAGCGGTCCAAGCATTGTTAATTTGTCCTGGTTATTAACCATCATTCACGGTAAACGCTAAATGGTGCTATGTGCCAAGGATTTGAGCCCAAAACATAAAAATAAATGATGTTGAGTTCATTACACTTGGCACCAATCTCCTTTTTTCTATTACCTTCCGTAGTCCACACAAACATACTAATGGTACCTAACACATCCCTAATTTGTAACCCCTGCATCTGTATATAGCATAAATGTATTCTTTTTCCATTGCCAGCATTTAGTCTGAGTGCACTGCAGCACACTTTCAAAAAAGACATTTGAACAAATTGAGTTAGTGGGGTTGGTCATACTATAAATAGTTTGATAAAAAAGGAAAGCGATGTCAGAATATGGAAATAAATAAAAAAGCTAATATTACTCAAAGAATGCTGATATTTAGTCACGTCTAATATTATAATGTGATACTTACTGTAAATTAAGACGGTCGGCCGCTAATTAGGAAAAATTATTACTAACAGACAATATGATTTTACTCGATGAAAACAAATTTGCAATACTTTCAGAGGCGCTGCTTTATTGACACATCTAACATGTTGCTTGGCATATGTGATTTCAAGGTAAGGTCTATTCAAGTAAATTTTGTGCTAAACCTCGAATGATCGCCGTTTAACAATATGTTGTGCGCAATTATAGTAATTTCCCATGTTAATGTATTTCTGAATCGTTGGTCATTATTTAATAAACTATTAACGTAGTTACGAATTCACTACAATCGCACTTCGTGGTGGTGCGGATGGCGAATTTTTATGCAAATAGGGAAAATTATGCAAATAGGGGGGAAACGCGTATTTATGTTTTCACGTAATATAGTTTTGAGTTGCCTGTTGTTTCTGTTATTTATTAGAAAGCCATTATTTGCCTTTGGTTATTTAAAAGGTTGTGCAAAGAATACTATGGAATAAGAAGAACAGATACTTTTGTTGATCTTTCTTTTTATAGTATACATTTATGATGGGGAATTACTAGATTAGGTTCACATTGATGCGTTCATGTTATGCAAACAGCTAATAGGTGCAAACAAAAGACCGAATTCTTTTATGCAAATGTAAATATACAGTATGCAAAATAAACAGATAATATTGCGTAAACCCAATAAAGAAATTTGGCTGATTAGCGTCGTCTTTCAATTCAACCATTGTCAGAGAACACCTTTGCGCCGTGACATTTAAAAACACAAGATCCATGTATTTGTCATGAGAAAACAGCTTAAAATAGACATAGCTTTCAAAGCCCTTTAGAATGAGACAACAACAACCTCATCTTCTCCTTCGCGACCCAGAAATCTGCAGGGGTTTCATAATTGTATTGTGAATTACAAAAGCATTTTATCGCTTATAATTTGAGTCAAACGCTTGAAAATTCCCTACATATAAACCCGATGTGTAAAATTCAGATCGATCGGATGTTTCCAGCAAATATTTTAAACATTTAGCTAACTATCAAACCCATATAAGAAAGACGTATGAAAACATATCAAAACCACATGTCATTTATTGGGACATAAACTTCGAAAATCTGTATATCCACATGTTTCTAATCAATTTGCATAATCTTTTTCCGTATTGTTTACCAGGTTTTGCGCCTCTATGTTTCTTGGAATATTATTGAAATTGGGAAAATTTCATAACTATTTACAATTTGTAGTGGTAATCACACAGCAATTTGTTTAATAATTATGCTGATGGTGTAGAATAAAAAAATTACAGAATTTGGTTGGAAAGTGGTCGAGATGTAAATTTTTGAATTTTATAGCCAAATTGGGTATGTATAAATATTTAAAATTACAATATTTGGTGTATAGCTTGTTCGAAAGTTGAATCTTTATTAATTTATAAATAATAAACTAACAATTAATTCTTCTTTCGACTATACTCTGACAACGTCCAGATATGAGTTTGCCAACTTTTCGGGGGCATTCCATTATCGACGTTTCTTTTACACGTTTTCGGAATTTAAGCTCCAGACTGTTGGATGGCTACTAAAACATTTACAATATTGCAAGTATGCTTGGGATTATTTTTTTGATATTGTCATAGATCAAAATGTGCTGAGTGAAATATTATTTTATTTGCCCATTATTTTGCCAACTGTAATAGAGTCGGTTATTCTTTTTTGAAGGAAGTATCACACGTGCATTTATCTCAATAGTTATTGAAATAATGACACTACTAATACTAATACGTGCTCGAAACATAAGCTTTGTTTTGTATTTTTGACGTTGTTAATTACATGTTTGTATAAAGCGCTAGGCGTGTTTATGCAAGGTGTAAGAATTGTAACACAGTATATAATACTCGTAGTTTCCCGTAGAATCGAAATCTTCAGCGTATTCAATATGTTATTCTCAATTACTATGTACTTGTAATTTTTACAATTAGAATAGCTCTTACTTTCAATAAAAGTCATGTTTATTATTTGAATTTGTCATTCATCTTTTCCGGTGAACCTGTTATTCTTTATTGCTGGTAAAGTGTAAAACACTTTTCCGTACCCGGATAAACGTGCTATTAATTTCGTAGAATTTTTGATATATCAGGATTATTATAACTTATTCTCCGACCTATATAAACTAATTTCATTGAAAAAATGACGTGAAAATTGAGGTTACATGATAAGCTAGGTACCACGTATCAAGTATTATAATTATTTACTAATTCTCGTTCTACCAAAGGCCTCATATGTAAATATAAAAAGTTAAATCTCAAAATTGATATGCAAATGCTCTCTCACATATATTAATATGTATGAGCCTTGAGGATTTGAGAAGGCTATCCAAAGAAGAAAAAACAATACAAGAAAACCTAATGATAATCAATTTCTCAATGTTGTACGGAGTCTTGGAGTTGGAGTATAGAAGTTGCGCAAATTCGTCCAACAGAATAAGAAAAAGCTCGAGTCATCTGCTTCACTTATCGAATATCAAGAAGGCTTTCTGCCTATGTTGTCAACCTTCTTCAAATTATTTAATACAATCCAAAGAAGGAAAAACAATGCAAGAAATGCGCGACGGGTCGATCTAAAGTCTAATATCGATATGATTAATGATGAGACGAGCGCCGATGTATTTTTAGTGTTTATGATTCTCAACATTACGTTCCCTCAACTGGCATATGGTTGTCGCGTATATCAAGTAGTCTTCGCTGAAAACCAAAATTTTTTATCAACACTTTATACGATATATGAACGGCGAATGCGATATCGAACAACGTGCGATACGAAAGGAGATTGGAGAAAATTCTTTTTTATCGACTTTTTGTGATAGCTGTTATGTATTGTATAGAGTTGGTGCTTCAATAATTGTTCTTTTAGGAATTATTTTCCTTATTTTTCACCGACAAATTAAAAATTGATGAAGAAATGAAAAGTAAAAAAGAATCTCAATTAGAAGTCTTTTAATGGTTTGTCGATACAAAACCTTTCGAGAAATGATACACTTATCACGTAATTACGGTCGTTATCGCTATTTTGGTGGGAAAATAATTTTAAGTTTTTTTTTATATTAATTGTATGATCCAAAAACATTAAGAACTATGATAATAATAAAGACCTGTAAAGCAAAAAAGGGTCATTTACTTATATGGAGAAAATTTTATTCGCTGCACTCCCTATTACTATTAGATTACAGATCATTATCAATATATGGTAGCAGCACAAAATTTTTCTGCGGTCATCAATATGCAGTCACTTTTGATTTAGTACTGATCGCTCTCAATTTACATCAGAGTTGATTACAACCTTGACTGGAGAAAAGAACACCCCATTTGTTAAACGTTTATGCCCTTTGTTCAGTGCTTCATGGAAAGTCATTATATTTTTCCTTGTCCTTGCCTTCCAAGAAAGAATTACTTTCGCGCCTACTACCAGTTTTGAGAAACCTTCGACTGTCTTCGGAACTTCCACGTGCTGTAGATCCATACTAATAATTGTGTCTTCAAATAGATATTTCGACGCAGATATTTTCAGGCGGAAACCATTTGATTGAAGAGTATAAGTTTCAATGTCCGTGATAGAATTCTTGACAGCAGAAGGTAGCGCAAGGTAAAGAGTTGTGAGTATCACTTTCAAACAGAACTCCAGCTTTCCAAGGTCACCGGTCCGTTTAGCGTTCGTGTTGAGGGTCCCATCTTCCTGGGCCAGGACTTCCGTGCCCAAAGATTTTAAGAAACCTTTCCCGTCCAGTTTCGGCGCACTACGACTAGCAATGTCCAAAATATCCTTAAGTTTGTCGTAAGATTTCGAGGCCAACTCCCCACAGCTTAGTTTGAGATCGTCCTTTGAGAGGAAAGCATTTCTAAGTATAGGAGTCCAAATGTACGCGTTATACTCGTTTTCCGACATGGGCTGTAACAGGATGTCGTTCTTGTATAACAAATAAAAGTGTTCGAAAAGCGTCCGCGCGTAAATGAGGTCATTGGACGCTTCGGACATATTTATGGGGTTTGCGTCCAAACATCTTCCGAGGGATGTCAGATCTCTAATGTCGCCGAATTTGTCTAGGAACGCCAAGACGTCCTCGCTGCACTCGACCATGAACTTTTGAATGCTTCGGCCAATGGCAAAATCGACACTTTTGATTGCAGGGTCTTCAATTTGACCGGCAATATGACTCATAAAATCTTTCGGGAGAAACTTCGTGCAACTGGGATTATGGATGTTAATGACACCAATACTGAGCGGGCTTTTTTTGACGCCAGCCTTCGTATGCAAGTCCAAGATGTCAACATTATTATGTATCAGTTTGTCGCCTGCAAGAACGCTCATCCGGTATGTCTTAAGAACTTCATCAGCGATATCGCGAGTGATGTACTTCGGTGTTCGACTCTTAACTTTTATCGGTGCCGGCAATTTGCCTGATTCGTCTGTCTTATTCCTGTCCACTTCTAGCTCATTAGAAGTTGCGAGGAAAACGTTCGTCAGAAGTGTTGGTACAATTTCCGAGTCGGATTCTGACGAATCACAGCTTTTTGGCGTCTTTTGTCGATCAACATCAGTTTTATTAATCTATATATAAAGTGTGAAAGGTTATTAGACAGTTTTCCAGATACATTTTAAGTTAGTACTGACCTGGCGTGTTGGTGTGGAAGGTAATTCTTCTTCGTAGCGTCGTTTCTGTCCAATTTCTGGTTGCTCGCTTTCCAAATCTCCTAGCGGATGCATTTCAATTATCTTGGTCGTCCTTTCTCGAAGTAAACGATCTTGCTTTCGGATGTCTTGCGTTGCATCGAGAATTTGCCGAGTCTAAAATGGACTATCCAGTATGTTGAAATTAACGACAGTATCAAACGAGCTTTAATTACCTCTTCGAGACGAAGTTTTTCTCGTAATTCCTTCTAAATTAATATGTGAAGAGGTTGTTAAAATAGTGAACTAATTGATCTCAAAGATACTCTTGTCAGATAACTTACTCGACGCAGTTGCGCCTCTTCCTCAAAGATCTTGGCTTCTATATGCAGTGCTTCGCGCTTCGTTTGCAAATCCCAGAAAAGCTCTACTTGTTTCGATTTTTTATCATTCTGGTAGAGAATTGATAGTTAGTACAAAGAATTTATCTAGATCACGATCCAGCCTGAAACAACAGACATGCAGTTTTTCCCGTTGCCAAGACGCAGTTGGCAAGGTAGTCCGTTGAAACACTACACTGCACGCTGACAAGCCAGTCATGACTTGCTCATCAACAGACGCGCAGTTTTTCCTGTTGCCAAGACGCAGTTGGCAAGGTAGTTGATGACGGAACAGGTAGTGCATTGTCCTAAACGCTAACACGCCATTATGGCATGCTCGTCAGCAAGCACGCGGCCTTTCCCACTGCCGACTAACGCGGTCAGCAGGGTAGCTGACTGGGAATCAAACAACTCAGGCTGTAGAATCGAATATGAAACTTTCCTTGAAGCTTTTCTTCCATTTTATCAGCTTCCGGTCGCCAATGTCAGAGTTATCATCGTAGTACCGACCGATAATATCTAATTCGGCTTTGTACCGGCGGTGTTCTGTTTTTTTATCCTCTAAGTCGCCTGCGCACAAACGGAAGTCTAAAAACTTCTTGAGCGAAGGCTTTTCTGTATCCTTCCAAAAAACTTTTGGTATTTGTTGTAAGTAAAAAGTTTTATTGTGAGTTGAGCAATTTGTCTTACCTGGGAATTTCAAGTCGCGAAGACAGGCGGTGAGGAGTAGCATAGTTCCGCAGAGAAGGTTTTTTTCCGTGGTTGGTCTCAAGCCTTTTTACTTTACCTGACGGTATTTCACTGACGTTTACGCGTTCACATCGCCAAATTAGGGATTGTTTTAAGGGCTTAATTTTTAGGGCTTCGCCAAATTTGAGGGGTTTTAGAAGTGAACTACTCTGTGCGGGAGGCGAGTTGTCATCAAACACTCCATGTCCTACACGTGACGTCAACCGGAAAGTTCCTTTGATAATCTAAACTGGGTATATAGCAGACATGCTTTCGCGCTGATGCCGTCCCTGCAACATAAAGGCTCGGGTTGATACTGCACCTTATTGATAAAATGGTGATATGTGTAGCAGACAGACCTCGCAATGATGCGGTTTATATCTATGATTTACATATACTATTACATATTAACAATCACTAATTCTCACCTTATATCTCGACGCTCGGTGCATTTGTATGCGGATGTCATTTGTTATCCTTTCTCATCGTTGTTTCGTATTCTTTGTGCAAATTACCGTGCTTACTCTTTAGTTGCATCTTTCAGTTTGTTTTCATTATTATTATTGTAGACGTTTTAACTCCATGTACTACCGAAATGGCAAGAGATTTGACTGCAAATGGGGCTCCATCAAATTTCAGGATAACAGACATCAATAGAAGAACGAAGACATAAAGTGTGGTATTCCAAGTATGGATGATGAGGTGTCTAGAAGAATGCAACTTTGATCATTTCAGGAAGTAGTGGATCGACAATTCCATAGATATTGCTGGAGAGTCTGAGTATTATTGATTTTGAAAACATATGGTAATGGAGCGATTTTTTCTCCTTGAACTTTCTTTAAAATACTTCTAATAGTGCTGTAATTCTTTAGTATTAGTTCCATGGTGGATTTGATGTAAATTAATTCCAGATTAACATTTTTATATAGTAATGGAGGTAACCCTATATTAGTCGTGTTATTATTCTTATTCTGGTATAATAAAGTGAACATTAAAAATTAACAATAAACACCATGATGACATTTTAAAAAGTCATCAGTCACACTGGTCAATTTACGGCCACATAGTCATTCTCGTATTTATGTCACATAATAATAATAGAATGTTCATTTGTCTGCAGCATGCCCCATATAATGGCTTCTTGTTCATTTTTTTTTCCACTCCAGTCTCATTAGTATTAGCATAATAATGACATAAAGCAAGATTAATGTCAACTTGTCAACTGCACTTTGATACCATTCAACCGCTTTTTGTACATCTTTTTTAATTCCAATTTCGCATTGATAAGTCTATATTGTGCACTCGTTTGCAGCTTTTTGATAACATTCAACTGCTTTCTGTTTACGTTTTTCTATCCAGGTTCCATTTCTATAACATAACAATAATGCAAGATTAAATTGTAAAACAGCATATCCTTGTTCAGTTGCTTTTTGATACCATTCAACTGCTTTTTGATCATCTTTTTCAATTCCAATTCCATTGGCATAACATATTAATATAGCAACTTATATTGTGCACTGGCATGTCCATGTTCAGCTGCTTTTAATACCATTCAACTGCATTCTGTTCATCCTTTTCAATTCCAACTTCATATATTCATCTCCCTCTTTATAACATAAAGCAGGATCATATTGGGCACTAGAAAGCCCTTGTTCAGCCGCTTTTCGTTCGTTCCTTTCTACCCCATTGGTATAAGATACAGCAAGATTATATTGTGCATTAGAATCTCCTTGTCCTTGTCTGGCCACATTTTGATACTGTTTGATGGCTTCTTGTTCATCTTTTTCATTGTATTAGTATTTATTAGCATCTCCTTGTTCAGCTGTTTTATGATATAATAACTCGTACAGATCTCTTTCATACAATAATAACGCGCTTGCTCTATTTATATCTTAGCGTAAAAACAGTAAATATTAATCTTAGAATGTTAGATGCTGACAAAATGTTTGTGTGTAATTTGTGTTCTGTCCCAGAAATGTTTATACGTCAGTTCTATGCTATATTGCATAATACACACAGGCAAACGCAATAAGTTGCTCTGGTGTGATAGACCGCGTATCAAAATTACATGGCATTTCAGTAAACTTTATTTATAACATAAATAAATAATAATTGAATAAATCTAAATCGCTAAATGAAAAAACCATTATTTCGTTTATGTTGAATAATCCGCTCGCTTCTTATTTTAAGTCTCGTAATCCTGAAATAATGTACTTTATATCATTAGTTTGCATCCTTATCAGATACCATGGAAACGTTTCGTATTTACTGTTTGCAATACATTGGATAGCATACAATCATAATCAGATGTGGAGCTGATATTGCAACCATGTTTCAGAAACTAATTTAATATTTAGAATCAATTCTAATAAATAAGTGCCTAACTTTTCTGACAGTCTCATTTAGGAGGCACGATGAGCTTTTTTCTTTGAAAAAAAAAGTAGAGATCTCATGTTTCCACAAATTACTTACAAGCGATTAGTCCAATGATGACGAAATCTTGTTCAAACATCCAAGATACCTTCTGAGAATGTAGAGACAAAAGTGAAGTCATTATGATATTAGAAAAAATTAATTCGCTTCAGGGTTAGGAGATTTTGGATAGAAGCGAATGGCTTCCGCAACGTAAACTAGCATATATCTTTGTTTGTTGTTCATATTAATTCTCAGTATAATTTGCTATAGATAAACTTAACATATTAGTATTAGTCAGGTAACTTTCGATTACGAGTTTGAATGTTCTCGAAATAAGTTTATTATTTCGATATCATCATTTCTGTTGACAGAATATAAAATACCGGCTCCGGTCTAAGTGCACCAGCGAATTAATGAGTACTATTTTACTGATTAATTCACCATATAACAGTACTAGAGTAGCAATTAAATTAGAAGACATCAGATATTATGATAAATAATTCTAAGATTATCAACGAATATGAATAGGCATCTGTTTAGTGTAAACAAGTGAGAACATGAGAAATGTTGTCCATTCAAATAATTACAGTTATGCAGTACCTACTTAAACGTCTCTGTCTTAAATTTTCCGTTGATCGCGCATACACTACAGCAAAACACCCAAACGCAATAAAATATATGTTACGACACCATACAAGTTGAAAACATTTGAAAGTCTCAATAAATATAAAAATTGCCGAACGAGTAGAAGATAATTAATTCATAACGCATATCTATTTGCTGAACTAAGTTAGTACGATTCGCTTAACTTAGTCAGAATGTAGTGTCTACGATCGACGTTAGCAAAACTCTCAAGACTATCAAAGAAACATAACTGCTTGGTGTCGGCTTAGTTGCAAAGTAAGTTTGCTTCCAAGAGAAGACGAAAGGTATGTGCAAATCCGCTTTCGCTGTCATCGGTTGATGATATAATATATAAAATTTAATAGCAAAAACCAAATATTTGGTTCAAATAATCTTACTATAATATCCGATACTGCGAAATAAAACGCGGAAATATGAATAATGTTAAGCGATGCGACCCGTACAATATTCGTTGAAATTTTCGCACAGTCAAGAGACTTTTGTGTAAAAATTCATGGTCTCTCTAAATTGGAAAAAGTGCGATAAAATTTAATACGTAATTAAAGTGATTAATTCATGTTTGAAACTTTTTATTAATATTAATATCAGTTTCTGAAAAACAAAGATATATTTTTTATAAAGAACAAAAGCAACGTTGGTCAAGAAATTGTTTATTTAATTAAAACCATTTACTATTACGAACAAATGAAAATTTCAATGAAAATTTTACATCATACTGATGTAACCCAACATCAATAATTTCTTAATCAGTATAGGCATAATAATGTATTGCCTAATTAAGAATAGGCTAAAGCGTAGCAATTTATTGGCTAATGTACAGCAAGAATCATGTCACGTACTCTGCTTAGCTGCTCTATTTCCTTACATTTCCCTTCTTCTCGTGCGGATGTTTGTACAATAATAAATTAAATTTCTGTTCATCGTTAATTCACGTGAGACGCCGCGGTTTACAATAGAATGTAGAATATAACATGAAATTTCTTGAGTCAATGAAATTCGCAGTAAGCAGATTTATTATTTGTAGTCCAAAGCTTCGTATAGCCAGGTTCACTATAGATAAAATCAACTGTAGTCACTTAATGCCCCCTCCCATCGAAAAAGACGTCCACTTGCTGACATCTATCTGGAGAATAATACGGCCAAAGGGTGTTAACCGGACGTAAAGGCAAGTTTGTATACACTACTTGGAAATATATCGAGTCGAACGTGTACAATTATCAAGAAGAATGTACTGTAAATACACAAGAGTCGCAAACGCTTTCACAGACATTGAATGAGAGAATTAAATTAACAAAATCTAAACATTTTAATTTAACATTTGTCTGTTACATTAGAGGGTCATTTAGAAAATGGTATTTGGTAGTAAAAGACATATAATAATAATTGATTTATGCTCATAACAAACGCCCTTAAAGACTGGCTTTTTTTTTCAAACCATTCACTTAAAGCCAAATCACAATTTTAACAGATAAACATCAATTATGAAGAACGCGATAATCTTTAAATTCGTTTATTCGGTATCTACGTATTTAGAGATTGAAAACTCTGTCGATTTTTACATGTAAGGAGCAATTCGTTTGTGCTGTTAGCTATGCAATCCCTGTTTGGGTTTATCGTATAAGATTGGCTAATAAAATTGGGCATTGCATTGGGTATTACAAAACCTTATTACTTTTGAACATACACAGTTCTTTCCTGTGAATAATTAGTCACGCCATTTTCTAAATTTGAACTAATGCTGTGAGCTTTTAAAAAGGAGTTTGCTTTATCGCAAACTCTCACTATGGGAATTGTACTAGTTACGACGCTGGATATTCACTAAATGAAAGAGATAAGATTTGCCATCTAATCTAGAGAGATCATCTATCTACACGCAACAACGGGCCAATGGTTGGACTTAAAGCGCAGAAAGTTGAATATAAATATGTCGTGCCATCGTTACAATTCAAACGCTTGACAATCCAACGCTTGTTTCAGTACGCTTGATCTTAGAGACCTCGGTTCCGCCGTTTTGCATGTTGAAAATCTCACGATCGGTAAATTGCGGCAATTTAGTAACCAATAACAGGTAAAACATCATTTACTTAGTGTGGTATCACAGTAGCCAGGACTATATACTATGGATTATTCCAACATAAACAGGCCTATTTGAGACTGAAGCCGAAACAATGATGGCTCTTGACACGGCCACCGTTTTCGAATCTCAACCCTTCAAAGACATGCCAACGTCAGACCTCCCACGACTAGTCGCTGACTACCACAAAGCCACAGACAGTCTATTTCTCCGACAGTATGACTCGGCTAGTAAACTCTGTTTATCGGCGATTTCTGAATTTTCATGGCTAATTCCAGCAACTCTAAATTCACAAGAGGCTAGAGAAATACGGAAAAAGTTTTGTGCGTTGTATGTAAACGTTGTTGCTGCCATACTATCCGACAAGACGCAAATACAATCAGAAGACACCGAAATCAGACATTTGTTAGATAGCAAACCGCATACAGTTGTCAGTGGGGTATGGTCGAGAATAGTGGCCGAGGCCTATCACAACGAAGAAGGAGAAGTAGATGGCGAAACAGTAGTCGCTTGGTAAGGAGTCATAGTCGCAACGTTTGATTCAATGTTTTAGCATTTATTAACACATTAATTGCTATGTATATCAGCGTGCTACTCTGTATAAGTCAGCAGCTTCCTGATCTAGCCCGCAGGATTATCGAAGACTGGCTAGAATATCTTCCAGATGCAATATTTGCTCACCTTCAGAATGCATCAGTCGATGGGAGGACAGATGATGAAATTCTGAAATGTTATGAAAAAGTTGTCGAGTTGTATGTTGTCCATGTGCTGACACGGCTCAAGGAATGGAGTTTCGCAAGAATGTTTCTACGAGATAACATGATCATTGATGCGGACCGCAAAAAGGTAATATAAAGTTCGATTATTAGTATTTGTTACTTTTAGCAACGAGATTTCCTATATAATGAAATGACTCGGCTTAGGTATATGAAGACACAATAAAAAATTTAGAAAACGAATCGCAAAGACCTCCAATACAGCGGCAGCCAAGACCGCGGAAAGAGAAACCAAAGAAAGAGCAGGCAAATGGTCACATCAAAAGTCACCACAATGGAAATGGCGTGGTCGCTAGGCAACTTTCTGTTTCTCCATCAATGGGCAACAACGACTGGTCCATGGCTTCTACTACAAACAATCATAAAAATTTTAGTAAAGCTTCATCTTCTTCGCATACAACCCCAAGAGAGGCATCAATTAGTACTCGCAAGCGAGGACGAAATTTCAACATGAAAACGTCACCTCAAACATGGCCAATTTCACGGTCACCTGATGATGATGATCAAGTATCTCGACCTACTGAGAACACTTTTGAACGAATAATGTCAAGGATTGTTATAATTAGGGATAGACTATCGCCATACTTGCGTAATTCGTTAATCGGTTCACTGACTTCTTCTATATCTAATACGGGGAGTTCTTCATTATCCAAAGTAACCATTTACATGGCTTTAGTCTTCAGTTTTATAGTGTTGATGATCTCTAGGACGACAAGAAAACAATTGCGACAAGCTTGCTATCAAATTATCTTTAAAGTCGTTCCAATATTGAAAGCCGCCACATCAATTAAAGATTTTTAAATTGAAAAAAAAAAAACAACAACAAAACAAACAGACAAACAAACAAACAACACTTATGGCGAGATTCTCGGTCCGAAATCGTGTCACAATAATCTGCTAATGGAAAATAAATTATTTGTAATGAACTTTAAATGACAGGTCAAGCTTTTTGGTTGGATACTTGACAGTAATAACAGATTGGAGCACCTTGCGAGCTCTATAAATACGCTGGATTTCGAAATTCTTCCATCTTAACGGTACATGTTCTCAGACCTGGATTAGAACGACTCGATGGATGAGCGCAAGCGGGCTATGGGAAAATTATGGTCGCGATTACCAGAATTCGCCGGCGGCCGTTTTTTCTTTTCGCAGCATGAACCATATATATAAGTGAAGTATATGAAGTTTACAGCTTTACAAGTGTAAACCTTGTTAAATTAAGTAGTAGTACAGTACATTCGATTTCAATTTATTGTTTAATAATATAAGTAAGGTCTTGTCCGAATATAAACGAAGCTTAACTCTGTGTAAAATTTCAAGTGATTTTAAGAATAACTTCATTGATAACTTTCCTTATCCGGACTTTTTCAGATAAGGGGCGCCGCAACAAAGTTAATATTCGATTAATCTTAATTAGTAATAGTAATAATAATTATGGTCTGGACCTTTAGTCTAATTCCAGTAACGCCACTAATTATTCTATTTTGGTTCTCGTTAAAGTTGGCGGAACTTTCCTTTTGTGAATGCATTCCGCTCAGCTATTATTCTACACTTTGAGGAAACAGCTGTGCAAACCTCTAAAAGGTTCTCTATCAGAACATATTAACATCACATGGTAATGCCTTGCTAGAGCATCTGAAATTGAATTAATCACGCGAAACCGAATTGAAACATCATTATTATAGTTTGTGTTTATTGCGTTATATAATAAAATCTCTAAATCTAATAGGTGTAACCGTGCCATTATTTACAAGAAGTGATCGAATAGTAAACGAAAGTATGCACACTTCTATACACTAGTTCCAAATTTACCACCAAAACCTTTAAACATCTGTAATGAATATCCACTGAATGTGCTTCCTTTAGTGCCTACAAATACTCCCCCTTTTGATGCAACAACCAGGTCGATAAAAGGGAAAAATTGTTTACGTATATTTACACCATCCGCAGGATTAACAACATCAAAATCGGATAAGTAATTGTTGAAATCGTTTAATATAAGTAGACATGAAAAGGTCTTCCGGAGAGTAGCCAATTCTGGCGAGTCTGATTCAAGATCGGTCGCGACAAATAGCGGAATATTTGAACCAGAAATAGTGGTGGGACATATAAATTCAGTGTCATCCAGATCACTGCTTTCTAGTTGATAATCTTTAGGGTTGTCCTGCCGTTCTTCTCTTCCGCTCTCCCCCTCTCTGTCTCCCTCCTTTTCTGCATCAGTTCCACTATTGTTGCTTGTGGCTTCTTCGGTAAATTTCCTTTTTTGAATTTCTTCGGCGAAGAACTCCCAGTTGGCTTTAATGTACTTTTTCATAGTTTCTACAGTAATAGCTTTACGTTGTTTAAACGATGCATCTCCCCCTCTGACGTGCAATCCTATATATGCCCCTGTTCCCCCGAGGTCGTTTACGATTCTGTTTACAACCCCTATGACCTTTGGATTATTGATAACCAAAGACTTCTTCACAGTCTGATAGAAGCTTATATTCTCATCCTCGATTAAAGCAATTCTTCCACTACCAAACAGGGTATTGAATTGAATCAGTTTCTCAGTGCGTGACGCAAGATCAGAGAGATCCAACTTTTGTTGGTATTTGCCGAGAGGTACATAAGATGTTTGTGAATCATAATATTTGTAGTAATAACGGGCATTGTCAGGGACAATGTATACTTCTTTTGCCTCGTTTTTTATGTTTAGGGATTTCATCAAATTCTTCCATACAAAGTCTGGCCGTTTCATAATTCTTACATTTTTCTCGACCCACGACAAATCGATCAGATAATCCCAATCCAAAAGTGTTTTCTTCTCGTGATCACGAAGACATTTTAATCGTTTGGCCTCCTTGAATGCATCACAATCACTTATATGTCTGCCAGCAGAACCCAATAAGTTCAACGCACGTTGCAGTTTGTAATATGGAGAGTACCCTATCTTCGACACGAGTATTATTGGAGGTACCAGAAGGGTACGGTTGAGATACCAGGAAATAAAGATGGCATTTTGCAAGGCGATACGCTGATTATGAAATCCGCTATGAGGATTGTAAGCGAGATATAATTCCGAATCGGAAGATGTCTTTGTCGGACTGGCAAATTGATGCTCAGTATTGGGAGCGACTACCGGATTTTCTTGTACTATAGGAATACCAATGCCCACGTTCGGAGGATTTCCCTCTGGAACTGGAACGCCATTTTTTGTGTTTGGAGCGTCTATGTCACCATTTGGGCGGTCGGTGGGAGATTCGAGTGGAGTGTCAACGTCTGCAATTGGAAGGTCGGACGTGTCGTTTGTGGTGTCTGTTGTCGGTGGTGATATATTTACTTGTAGGCTATTATAATTTGCTAGAACATACATCAAGCTCAGTGCGAACACTATTAAGGCTATAGCAGTCCTTGGTCGTTTGTACTTGGATGCAGACATTCTTGTGGGAAAGTGATAGATAATGAAAAACGGGCAATGAATAATTTATATATACATATTTATATGATTTACGATTTACTATTTATATTGTTTACGATTTACACCTGTAACACCCCCCCCCCCCCCACTGTCAAAAGTGCCAAGATAACAAACTCGGTATAGCCCATCCATACCTTAATTAGCCCGAAACATGCCAAGATTTAGTCATGCATGGACTCTCGAAATCATATTTCCGATGCGTACCTAAAGCTGGTCATTGTATACGCTTCTGTAAGCCATGAACGCAATTTCGACGGTTAATGTGAGTTTAAACAAGGTGAGTTGGGACTGCAACATCCTTCTTCAGTAACCAACATACTAATACGGCCGAAATGCGAGAACCGTTGTTGTGTACCGAAAACCGAATATCGTAAACGAATTCTCATTGGGTGACGCAATCCCATGCGTACCAACAAAGAGGCAATGCAACATTTCCCGAATCAGGGAAGAAAACAAACCAATCGGCCTATTCACGGTTGTATTGTATACAAGCAATGACAAATCGTGGAATTGTGTGACTGGTAATTAATTAAATGTGCATTTATGGTGTGTATCGATTGCCAAGCAATTTGTGATGAAAAAAAAAGAAGAGTCAATTCCCTAATAAATACAGGTGTTGCCTTAAAGCATATTGTACGGAATTAACGGCGAAGGTTCATCATTAACATTTATTTAGCAGATTGGTCAAATTATTTATTCCATCCGTCACAGTAATTTTTGTGTCATTAAGACGGTTGTCGAAAAGTACAAATGAAACATGACGTTATACTACCATTTCATCGAACTATCCCTCAGTAGTACAGTATTAAAATTTTATCCAAAAAAAAGATTTTCATTAATTATAATCGTTCGTGTGAAATCGAATGTTTATCGCGAGGAACTTTGTGAAATCGAATGTTATCGCCTTCGTTTAAACTACAGATTGTACACCAGTTCATCGAATATCTTAACAAAAGTTGACTAGTTTACATGACTGCAGATATCAAATAATTAATATGGCTAAATTTAAATAATTGCTATCGCTTCTTATTTTGCTAAAAATAAAAAAAAAGTTGTAAAATTTTATTTGAACTACTATTATTATAATAAATGCAAGCCAAAAAGATATTTTTACAATTACTTAAATGTTGGCGTTCGTATTCCGACAACATATAAAGCAAACTGCAGCTGTTTAAGTTTTGTGAGCTGAGACAAAAGGAGTGAAAACCATTTGATTGCGCCTCCTTATTATTAATATGAAGTGAAACAATACTTGTAATCATGTTACACGGCATGCGTAAATCACGTGCTTATTACAAATGATTGATCGAATCTAACTCTGTAAGAGACATAACTGTATGTTAGGAGATAATAATAGGGTCTGACGTCCAAGTGTGCATGGAAAAAGTTTTCTCGAAGCACTTTATCAGGAGACAAACTCTTCATATATAATCAATGAATAAATTGAACGGCAGTGGCAACAATTAATTATAGTTAAAATGATATTACACCAGGAATATTGTGGTAGAGGATCGTCGTGTTCGTTGACAAAAAAAGGGAAAGACCATTAATGTTATTAATTTGATCGTCGACTATCATTACGTTACATGATGCGCTGTATTCCCCGTATCCATATCGTATAAGATTGTCAGTACTATCAGATGTTTGTATCTTATTAATGCGGATCTTTCAATTCTAGAGCTCATTGTCTAATAATAAAGTTCTTCGTCGCTCCTGTCCCCTGTTTGCCGCATAATTTAAGCGTAAGAATTCTAAAATTCCTGAAAACGAAACATACTCCGTACTTTGCTATCGGGGTGGGAAGGTATTTTCTTGTAGTCGACTGATCGACTGATTATGCTTGAGGAAAAACTCATAAACTAACGAACACAAATGAAACACATTATCAATACCGTAGAATGTGACTTGTATGTACATAATTTTTATCGGCGGAATTGTGCCAATTGGATTAATATCAATTTTTCTTGAATACCTTTGATTTGTCGATTTATCGAAGCTATTCACGTGAAACATATTTAGATACATTAACCTGACAATAATAATAACATCTAGGGCTGGATATTTATGTTGAAAATTAATATTCGCTTTATTAAAAATTTAGCTTTGCTCGACTCATCCTTCTATGTGAAACCGACTGCCTACCAAATGCGCAATAACTATCAAAAGTACATCGGATTTAAGTCTGACAAATTAACATTTGTCGCTGTTTGTGTCTGACGCAGAAACCACCAATCAAACAAGAAAGGCGAGTGGATGAATATTTTTAATTGATTATAGTCTAGAGCGCCTCTATATAGTGTAGGTAGTACAAATTTGATATTAGGGAGTCCACAATACGTATTGTGTAGTTTCGTTCGATATAGTGGAGGGATGATAATTGGTTGAATTAGAGGGAAGAAAAGTTCTTCGTTGCTACAGAGGGGAAAACGAAAGATATAAGATTTCATGCTGGCTAGAAGAGGTAGCCAAGAAACGTCCAAAAAACGTGTTGCCTTGACTGGGGCAGAGTATGTAATTGATTAAATTAATAAAATAAACGACCTTTTTTAGTCGTTATAAAAATAGGGAATTATAATAATGCGAGTTTATTATTTTATAAAGACTGAGAGATAATGTGCAAGATTTTTGTTATTAGAACAGAATAATGAAAGATAATATGTGAAAGAAAAAGAAAATTTCCCTCAACAAAAGGCCGACAACTGGCGGATGACTTTGAAAGGATTAACGACTTTGGTAAGATATTTACAACAAAATGATCTCATAGGGATTGAGTTTGTAACGATGAAAACCTTGAACAGCATCAAATTCTTCGAAACAATATGAAAACAAGCGGCAGTATAGTATTTTTAAATACCTTTCAAACTGACAAAAATGATTGATCAAAATTACACGTAATGTTTCGTTATAGTGTATATCACATGATATATTAATAAACTACACTATGGTAAGATTTCTTTTTTGTGGATATTCAGAATTATAGTGTAGAAATCTGTCAGATTTTTTATCTCCACTATAAAGAGAGTTACTGTGTATAATACGGTAATATCTTGTACTTTGCTCAATTCAATTATGCAGACATACCCAGTGTAAAATAGTTATACTGTTACACTCGGTTCTTTTGTTATCATAATCTATTGCTAATGTTGACAGCAAACACTTTACTATTTTCTAGAAATATTCCAGATGTCTTTTTGCTTCAGAAAGCTTTCGGTAATGATGCTTTGTATAAACATTCTCTGTCTCACGTTCTGCGTGTCATTGAATCCGTATGCACGTGACTCTATGGGCAGTTTGATACTGGACAAAATTAGAAGGATGCGTCTAATACTTTACGCATGCAAACTTTATTATCTTGCCATGGCCTTGGAAAACTAGCACTAACAATAAAAAGAGGAAAGGTTGATTAATAAAGTGAGTCCGGTCTTCGCATTCTTCGTTTCAATGATATACTGTGTGCGAATATATCCTGGGACTAAACAGCGTCTGTAAGCTTTATTATTATTATGACATCCGAGTAATGGACATTCTGAGGCTCTTCATCGACGCGCGCATGCTGAATGAAAGCAAGTATTAATTAATAGTATACATTTGGAGCAACACAAGATACAATTCTACCCATAAAGTATAATCATGCTATCTAAACCGTCTGTATAGAACGGATCTATTTTTGTCCAAGTCCACCGTGTTCAGCTTCTGCGCAAAGATAACGTCGCATTTCCCCGGGCCTTTGTTTTATATTACCTCATATCCGCCGCCTAAGAAATTTTTATTGGATTAAACATTTTTGAGTCATAATTAGTCGGTTGTACGAAATCGAGTTAGCTTTTTATATTAATATTTTCCCTCCCTCGAATTTCCAAATTATGGCGCCTCATGGTCAACTTTCATCAGACCCTTGGTCCCCAACGTCTTACTCAACCCATGCTCATTTTGTCCCTGCCATTCCTTCTGATAGCTTAATTACTATTCTTTCACCTTTGCCAACAGACGTAATTATTGATCTTGGATGTGGCGATGGCGTACTTACCTTGGAAATACAAAGTCTTTGCAGTAGAGTTATCGGGCTAGACAAAAGCGAGAATATGATACTGGCTGCACGGGAAAGAGGAGCAAGAGAAGCTGAAGTTGTTTCTGCAGAAAATTTGGAAGAATGGGTAAAGGAGAACAAATTAGAAGGGAAAATTGACAAAATTTTTAGCAACGCTGGTATAAAAAATTATGTAATTTTTCAAAAAGCAGCCACCAACCGCATATTGTGCTTAAATTAAAAAATTTATGATTTAAATACAGCATTGCATTGGATGAAGGACCACAATAAAGTGTTTGCTGGAATGGCGGCAGCGCTTAAACCCGGAGGAAGAATAGTCGCTGAATTTGGAGGAGCAGGAAATATTTCTGGTAATGGAAATTCAATAACTCAAAAACGGGAATTATTAGGGAATGCGCCAGATATGATACGTTGTCGACCTTTCCAATTTAAATAGTCAACTTTCACGAACCACATGTTAGGTCATCTGATAAACATATCGTACATTATTTATTTATCCAGCTCTTGAACAAGCTTTAATTGAAGCTTTAGATAAACGTGGATATGACGGCAAGACTATTTCACCATGGTACTGTATATGCAAATTTCACTTTCAATACATTCATTGTGACAAATAGATTTATCATTGTTCTCGCTTCTCCTTACTATTTAGGAATTTTGCCCATCCAGAAACTCTAAAACCTTTACTCCTCGCCCATGGTCTAAATCCTCTGGATTTAACACTCTTTCCTCGTCCGACAATCCTACCAACGACTTTGCATGGTTGGCTTGATACATTCGGGTTTACCTTTTGTAGCGTGTTGAGCGAGGATGAGAAAGTCAAGTATAAGGATGAAGTTGTCGCCGTCTGTCGCGAAAAAGGCATGTGGGACGAAGATAAAAAGGCTTGGGTTTTAGCTTATGTTAGGTGCAGGATTTCTTGCGTTAAGCAAAGTGAAAAAGAGGAAGAAAAATAGTATGGTGAAAGTTTAAGACGAGTGACAATTTTCTAGTGACATAGAAATTACAGTATAACGATATTGGTTGAGTGTATCCACTTATTTTCATTTCATTTATTGAAGAGCTAGCGGCTTGATAATGTCAATAAAGAATTTACATTAGCAATGTAATATCACTTGATGTCGCCGTCGAAGAGATCAACGAAAACATATCGATCCATGGGAAACTCTCCTTGAAAACGCCAATATTAACATTAGTCCAGTAAGTCCCTATATTGACAAAGAGTTATTACATCATCACGCTCTATCTATCAATGGGACTCTGATTACTCGAGAGATGGGGTTTGAATATACAGTTCCTTACTTCACTGAAGAAAAATTAAGGGAAATAATCGATAGGTTCAAAGAATTGAATCGTTGGCCTAATTAGAACAAGAGTTATGATTACAAATGTATTATTTCCTTATTTATAAATACATTACGAAATATATACTATATATAGGTGATCGTTAAGAAAAAGAAAATTTACCTATATCGATATCAAGTCTTTCTCGATGCGTTGTAGATTAATTACACAAAACCCGATGCAGTTTAAAAAATCTTTATTGATCAATAAGCGTTATGCTTTACAATACTACATATAAAAGAAGTGCTAAATTTTGAGAACGCGACATTGCGGTTCGATCTCGGAATTCAGGTATCATATGACCGAAAAATCTTGCCCTTACTTCGAATTTAATATTCTTCTTAATCTATAATACAGTCAACTACCTTTAATTCGACTCTCGATAACTCGACTTTCCAGTATTCGATCGCCTGGAACAATTACCCGATTTTTTCATAAAAATATTTTCCGTTAATTCGACCATTACCAGATAATTTGTAATTGACCCGACCAAAAATTTTCAGCATCTATAATAGTATTATAATTACGCCCGTTAATACGATCGTTAGAAAATCCATTTATGTATGGTTGATAATTTCTTCTGATAATTCGAATGCTAGTGGTAGCGTTAGATGTTTGTTTATAATACAGTGGTGTGCAAAAAAAATGAACTTTCTTAAAATTACGTTAGTTTCACAAGTATTGCATCGATTAAAATGCGTA